TATATATAGTTAGCAAAATAGCTCATGAATCGCTGAAGGATTCTTAATATAACTTTCAGAAGGTAATTACTGGATAAAAATCTAAACCTGATTAACTTTTGGAGTCAACAAAATTCAAGATGGTTGCCACAGCTAATCAACTTTAGCCTACACAGAATGATTATTGCCTCTGGCATGATATGAGGTGGTTATTCCTCCAAGGGATGCTTGTTTTTTCTTTAATGAGAACAAACACCTGCAAACGGAAAAGTCTGATAAATAAACTTCACTTCCATCTAAGTCATTAAGCTAACAGTAATTATTTGCTCTAACAGCAMCTGCCATTCATAACTTATAGCCAGAAGTAATAATTTATCAAGTGTACCTTTGTTCAGATTAAAAAAAAGATTTTGTTTTTGTTTTTTTATGACAAATCGAATTGTTGTCACCCTTTCTGTACCACACGCAAAAATTTACACTGAACTTCACTGGGTGGGGGGCTTAAGAGGTCGTCAGTGATGTGCAAACATAATGCAAACATTCGGCACATTATTAAATGAATAAGTGGGGTGGGGGGGTGAAATGCAAGTTATCTGTGTTTCACAGTTCCTTATTAATTCCACACATGCTGAGATTCCTGCTGTAAAATCTCTGTCCTTCTTTCATTGTGTGAAGACCGACACTGGTTTGCTTTCAAGTTAATTATAGAACTAATCAAAGGGCTTGCAAATTAAAGACCGAAGCATCAGTATACCATTAGAACACTTCAGGCACTTAAAAAATGTGATGATGAAGTTTATTATTTAAAAAAAAAAACCTGATAAGACCCCAGGAGGTTAAGGCTGATTTGACCAGAACAGCCWGACATCAGTGACAAACAGCACTCGTCCTGCGTCGCCTCTTCCAGATCACCAGTCATCRAAAACCCGAGACAAAGAACAGCTTTAGAGATTAGACTCAGCAGGACAAAAGCATCTTGAGAATTTAAAATTGAACTGAAGTATCAACACACAAACACACACTCACAGCACACAACACACACACACAAAAAAAAGGATTAGAAAACATATCTTTTAAATTTCAAAAAGCCAACCCCCCCGCCCCAGACGGCTGCTCAACATCTCAGAGATGCCCCAAAGGTTAAACTGTAAATTTGACTTTCCTGCTGCATGCTTGACTTCCTGTTTTCTTGCTGTTCAGATAAAGAAGTGGAACTACCCGAAATGACTTTGACGATTTAAGAAGTTACACTTAACTATTTCAAAATTTCTGAATTCTTTAAAGAAAAAAAAAATAATACTGCACAAAGTTTATGTGATGATAACAGAGCATCATTCCCATTCCATTATCACGTGGCCATCTTGAAATGCAATTCTACCTTAAAAGGCTGCGAGTGATACATTCAAGGAATGCATTGAATTAAATAGGTGTTTATTTAATAACCTAATGTTTTTGGAAATGTGTTAAAAGCTTAGAAGATACAGTTTAAGCAACTTGTTTGAATTTCCACATATTATGTTAGTTACTGTTGAAGTTAGAAACAAAGCTCCAGCCCAAGAAAAAAAAAAAAAAAACTCCCAGAATTAAGCCCCTTTCCTGTCGGGTAATGGCCCTTAATGCTCACCTAAATATAGGATATTAGCTTTCTCTTCCCCAAGGGGATAAGAAGATTTTGTTTTGCAGCAATGGCATCATGAAGCGCAGTGTTGCTGACTCAAACCGTTATAATGACATGATAATCCTCCCATTTAGTTGTGACACACGAMACATTTACTGCCTCTGAAAATAGCAGGAAGGCAGGAGCGAGGTTTGACTTCTGCTCGCAGAGTTGGTGCTCTACATCACAGGCAACGGGGGGAAAAATCTGCTGAACAGAAGCAACAGACAGAAAGGATTCCTCACTTCTACGAATTTTGTGCAATTTCATTTTCAGTTAATGTAGAAAGTTGATTTCTAAACAAAAAAAAGGACAAAAATCATCAAGATTACTTACTTAAAGCAGGAGTTCTTAAACGTTCTGACCTCAGGGCCCAATTTGTTCAACATAAAGTGACACGAGGTCCAGTCAGGCCATAATAGACG